TGAGGGAGGGTTAGTGAGGGTGAAAAAAAAAGGTCGAAATTTATAGGTACAGATCGACTCAGAATCACCCCCTGAGTCGATTTAGCTACCCCTGTAAAGACTTTGTTTTTTACCCCATCGGCCATCTCAAAAGAGGTTTAGTGATGGTCGAAAAAAGTGGATTCCACATTTGGATACATCTCCACCCCCCCCGCCCCCTCGCCCTCCTCTCCACACTGTTGAGATATAAATCTCTCATGTCACTTAGTGGCATATCGAATGAAAAAATGTTCCGGCGCCCTCGAAAGCCCCACTCTCCAATGTTTCCCTGGTTTCCAGCGATTGCCGTAGTTACCGACAAGGCATCGCTTGAGATCAAGGTTCGGGTCTTGACCGCGAATTAGGAGGGCGTAAAATCGCCTGTCGAGAAAAAATTCCCTCCATCCGGGCCTTAACCTCGTTATCTGAACCGATGAATAAATAAATAAGCCAACCATCCCATATTCCTTCAAGTAAACGTTTTGGAGTAAATTGTAGCGACATTGTCTAGGTTGACCAAACGAAAGAAAATAAAGTTAACCTCATGCAGGATAAGTTGAACATTCATATTAATGAATGATTTCCATTAACTAATTGACCCGCCTAAGTGGATCTGACAAATGGGTGTAATTATCAAATGGTACTCATCAATTCTAATCCAAATATAATGAACCTAATTAAAAGGTCGAGTTGGTTCTAACAGTGTGTATGCTGAGTGGATTTAACATATTATAGCACTAAGATTTCTGCAAAGCATGAAATAAATGCTTGGCGGAAAAATTTTGTAAAAACATTTAGCCATTTGTATGGAAATAGGCAGACCGCCTATTCTGTCCGAAGCAGTTTGCAGAATCACACGGATGGATGTAATTTAATGCCTTTTGGAACACGATCTGCAAAGTTTAATGAGTGATTTAATACTTTTCTCTAAAATATATAAGAGTGGACACTGTCAATCGAATTCTCACCGTGCTCGTAACAATAACTGCAAATCCAAAGTGTTATCATTAATAGAAGGTAGCAATAAATATCTGGAATAGTAGAAACATGACAGAAATAGCTTTTTGTCGGTCCGGAGCATTTGCCACTTTCAACAGTCTGTTTTCTTCAACAACGCCAGCCGTGAAGAAACTCTTAGGATGGAAGCAAGGAGATGAAGAGGAGAAATGGGCAGAAAAAGCAATCGAATCGTTGGTGAAGAAGTTGAAAAAGACGAAGGGAGCATTTGAAGAGTTGGAACGGGCCTTAAGCAATCCCGGAGTTCCAAGTAAATGTGTGACCATTGCTAGAAGTTTAGATGGGAGACTCCAAGTGTCTCATCGTAAGGGATTACCGCACGTAATTTATTGTCGCGTTTGGAGATGGCCTGATTTATTGTCTCCGCATGAATTGAAGCCTCTGGACATATGTCAGTTTCCGTTTGGTGCTAAACAGAAAGACGTCTGTGTTAATCCTTACCATTACAAAAGAGTTGAAAGTCCAGTATTACCACCGGTTTTGGTGCCGAGGCAATCTGAATATCCACCAGGGCACGCTATGTTGCCTTGTCATCAAGATCCAGAGTCGACAATGCCCCATAATGTCGCCTATACTTTGAATGGATTTAATTCTGGGGGGAGAACCATTTCCAATGTTTCCGGTCACGATCCAATGTCAACAGTGTCGTCTGAGGCATTAACCAGTCCTTATCCTTATGCCTCTTTTAATACCAATGAGACACCTCCACCTGCTTATGCATCTTCTGAAGAAGGTTCTCTGTGCGGAAAGTCGTCTTCTCCTGATTTCCATTCGTTAGACATGCACGATGGTTATTTGGATCCAGTGTCTTTTGAGGAGACTAAGGTTTGGGCGAGAATTGCTTATTACGAGTTAAACACGAGAGTTGGAGAAATGTTTCATTGTGAATCCAAGTCGATTATTATTGATGGATTTACTCATCCAGAAAAGAATTCTTCAAGATTCTGCCTAGGACAACTTTCAAATGTTAATCGTAACTCTACCATTGAGAATACAAGAAAACATATTGGAAAAGGAGTGTATCTGTGTTATGTTGGCGGAGAGGTTTATGCCGAGTGTTTGTCCGACTCATCGATCTTTGTACAATCCAGTAACTGTAATTATCGTCATGGCTTTAATCCCAGCACTGTTTGCAAGATAGTTCCCGGATGCTCGTTGAGAATTTTTAATAATGCCGAATTCTCAGATCTACTCTCAAAAAGGGTTTACGAAGGATATGAGGCTGTTTATGCATTGACAAAAATGTGTACTATAAGGTAAGCATCTACAGCAAAGAAGAATTATTTAAGGGCTGCATGGACTATCGTCGGAACTGATCTTTTCTTTTGATTCTGTCTGGTTAGCTTAAAATATATTTAAATTTGGGATCAAATTCATGTTGCGGCAACCACTACCATCGGTATAAAAAGATAATGAAAAACAAGCAAAAACTGCATGCCTAATTTCAAGTTGATGGATCAATTTTTCGCAACATCACCCTGCAGCAAATTTTTTTTCCAAAAAAGCAGGAAAATTGGAATATCTCGAAAACTTAGTACGGATGGGTATACATATTTTGATCAACTGAGATGGAGTAGATCGAGCCGGATATTTTGAGAGGTGGAGAATTCCAATCGGTTTGATAGTTTTCGATGTATTTTCGTAAAACGATTCAGAATTGAATGACAATAATTTATGGAAAGCGGCTGGATCAAGTAACACCTATAATTTGACGAGATTAAAATTTTCTCGGAATAACCTTAGCCGTTCATTCCTTCCATTTTCTAAAAGAGTGGGCGAAGTTGACCATGCGCACATACACACAGGGTGCTCAAATTTAGTATTTTTAGGTTTCGGACCATTCTACATCATTTCCAAGAAAAATTAGCAAATCCAAAAATTGACCGATTACAGAACTTCCGTTTCGAAGCAAAGAGGAGAAATTATTGAAGGTTGTTAAATGACAATAATAATTAAAAGGGATCTACCAAGTTTACAAAAAAATTATAAAAAATACGCAGACTACTATTGCTCTCTACTGGATTGCATGATACCTGATACGTAATTTTTTTCTAAACTTGGTATATCCTTTTCGATCAATATCGCAATTTAGCGCCGTTCAATAATTTTTTTCGTTTCTTTCTAATAAATTTTTATAACAAGCCGAGTGCTTCTCGCAACATAAATTTAATGACTAGATTTAATATATTTTGGGGTCACAAGACCGAATTTAAACAAAAGGTTGCGTTGGATGGTCCATTCGGACCTTGAAATAATTATTAAGCAAATGTTTAACAGAAATTAAGTGATTTTTTTTTCACTCTGTAACAGGATGTCATTTGTGAAAGGTTGGGGATCAGATTACCATCGCCAAGACGTTACCTCAACCCCCTGCTGGATAGAAATCCATTTAAATGGACCACTGCAGTGGTTAGACAAAGTTTTGACACAGATGGGACCACCACCAAATCGTATTAGTTCTGTATCATAATCCCAACAATACTTGCTAAATTTATCATTGCTCATTCACGTAATTACGAACTCGATACAAACTGTACATATTGTGAATTATATAGTTTTTAATTGATAGTGAAAAAGATTCGATACTTGTAATACATGTATGAGCAATACAATATATACTGTCTAGACTATTAATGTGATATTTCATGGCAAATAATGGCAAATCACTCATCCATCACAAATATGACAGTATTGGTTGTTTACTAATTCTTCTAAAATCTCCACGATCTTCGCCCGCGCCATCATTTCTATCGCGACTTTTTCATGCTGATCAAATAAACTTTTTCAGCCACTATTGTATTCATGTCTTACCCGATATTCGCAGATATCGTCGAGATTTTGTATAGGAAAAAGAATATAATTTTGCCGAAATTAAAAAAACAATTATTACTGCCACAGTAATAATAGTAATAATAGTAATAGTTTTTTTAATTTCGGCAAAATTCTATGTTTTCATCTTCAAACTCCGTCAAGTGTGGACATCAGGATGAATTTTATCAGCCGTTATTCAATTGATTCGGATAATTTTTGTTATGTTATCATGAAAAAATCGAATTTTTGAAAAAATAAAAAATAAAAATAAAATGAATGGATGAAATGATTTTTTTTTCTACGGTAATGGATAAGGATGAGATGGGATGAGATGAGCCCTACATTTGAAAAAAAATATTCAGTTAGGTAGAGATGAGGGTGAGCAATTAGATAAAATAAATGGAAAAAATACCACATACACACACATATACATCATATACATTCAGACACGGTCTAGAAGCTGCATTTTCAAACTCCTTGGATAATACTAAGTTAATATATGACAAAAAATGGGAAGCGGAAATTTGGTTGATTACAAGATTTCCTTTGGCAAGAAAAAAGCACAAAAAAGAAAAAAACGAATTTTCGAAGATTTCCAGATGAAAAATGGAATTCCAGATGTCGGAAAACATGGTGCAGTTGGGGTTTGTCGCAAGTTCCTGTTTTTTCACCGTTTTAACGAAATATCAAAAGGTACGTTACTCAGACCCAAATACCTCACCCGCTCCGGGTTTAGTGTTTACACTCGATATAAGCGTATTGAAGACCGTTACCAGACGACTTTTTTTCAGCACGGTGGAGAAATATTAGCCCCTAAATACCTTATAACACCAACGGACTCCATATAACCCCATCTAAGTGTTGTCCGATGTTTTATATGTACCAAAATGTCTTGTCTTTCCACCATAAGACCTATCCCTTTATGTGGTATGGTGGATAAGTAGATTCTACCTGACAAAAAAGAATGGAGAGATCAAGATCTCCCAAGGCTTGAATAGCAAGAATTTGAGAAAAAATATAAAAAATATTGCAAAATTCCAATTACTACCTGGTTGCCCGTAATTAAATTGAAATATTATCATTTGATTTTATAGAAATAATGGTAAAAGGAGCGTTTCAGCGTGAAAAACTACTCACAGGATTAAACATTCTTAGCTCCAACTTGCATATTTTCAACAATTGGAATTGGAAAAACAATCTGAAAAAACTACAGATTCAAACGAATATACATACACACACCTCTTTTAAAAACATGATATTTGTATATTTTATAACATTATGTAGAATTTCTAAGGAAAATCAGAAAATGATAAACATGATCAATCACAACGCTTCCATTTGGGAACAAAAAGGAAATGCCGCTCGAAAATTTCAGGTATTAAGTTTTACCGCAACCAATAATGACTTGTTCAGTCCGCATTGCCTATAACATACCAGCCCCTTTCCATAAAGAACTATTTGGATTATGCAATCTGAGTCCATCTTGAGCCTTTTCGTCATCAAAGTAATCAATGAAGGTTTAACCAACTGTTAAATTATAGTATTTATTTAACAGTATGTATATGCGCCAATCAATTAAATATAAAATAATAATGTTGATCGGGTGGCAATACATCATCAGTACAGTACTAGTAATTCAGACGTAACAGCAATTTTAATATTAATATGTACTTGTTTTTCTTCTCAATTGCATTGCGATAGTTGCATCGTGAGCAACCTGTGGAGAAAGTATTCTATCATGAGCGCGCTTTTAAAAATTAAACAGATTGATATAATTGTCTATTATTATTGATAAAGAATAAGAATTGAGCAAAGAAATTAATGAGTTTAGAAAAACAGTGTTGAATTAATTGTATAACATCTTCCCTTCATTGCACTTTTATGATTGCCCTTTTATAAATAATTTATTCCCTTGATGTTGTGTGAAACATACACCCAGAGTGAATTCATTGGTTCCATAATTTATTAAGCTCAAAACGAGATGGGCTAACTTGCATTGGGAATTACTTTTTATCTGTGAAAGAACGACGTAGATTTTTAATCGTTTTGAATTAACAACTCAAATTGGAGACAATTCACTTTTCAATTTCATTTGGTAAAGCTATTGGATCTCAAAACGAATTACAACGCTGTCTTATGCCCAAAACCAATTTGGTTTTAGCTGGTGTAATTTGTTTACGATTTAATGATCTCGCTAATTACAACCATTCTAATTTACCCAAACAAATTGGGAGTGCCAGTTGGGAACAGGTGAATCGCGATAAGACTTAAGTCCAAGAAGAAAAAATAATACCAATAAATTTCGACGACATATTCAATTATTGTATATACTTGATTTTATTGGCACTTATCTGCTCGTTTGGCATAGGGAATGATGCCTATGCTTTAATATACATCTCTCAGTAATTTTCCAAAGAAACGAATATTTGAATAAATCAGCATATATACAAAGCCACAAAACGGCTCTTCATCAAAATCGGTCGAAAGAAAGATCATCAATGCCTTGCTCATGAACAATATTTCTGAGCAGAACTTTGTCTTGAAGTTCATCATTAGTATCAACTATTTATATAAAATTTATATGTAAACCGTTAAAAAAACTACGTATTTTTTTCAGTGAGAATGTGAGTAAATATTGATTCAAATAATGACATTTTTGCATCCATCTTAATTTACAACTTTTTCCACAGAAAGAATTTTTTTTTAATTCTCTGTAATGACCATCACAAATTCAATCGTTCTGGATGACACGCACTCTACATGGTATAATCCTATTTTTTTTCTGATCACTGACAGTCTTACCACACAGATTATTTCACTTATGATTACTAATTACAGTTATGTAGTTTTATTATTCTTAGCCATATTGTGTGAAGCCCAGTTTAACGAAGTTTTCCAGGAATTGCACAGAGCCTCGTCAAATTTATTTCTGAAATGTTTTTGGGCCTCCGTTTCAGACATTTCAAGCACCTGAAACATTGAAAATATATAAATATGGGTCGTTTGTTCCTCAATAAATATTACCCCCAATCCTCCTCGACGGTACGTTACGTATTTTTTATGATTTTTCTGTAAATTTGGCACATTCCGTATTATCAATAACTACGTAATAGTCTATCTCGCAAGTCGAAGTTTTGGAGCTGCTGTTGTATTTTACACGGCTCACAACTTCCCCCTCCATAACAATCATGATTCTATGATTTTTTAATGAAGAAGCCATGACAAAAAATTGAAAACCATCCTCAGATGCTTAATAATTCCTAGATAAACTTTCCAATGGTATTCTAATTTCAACTTTTATTTGCATCAATAAAAATATTTTCCTCTAGAATGGGTGAAAGAATCACATTTTACCAATTTTTATTATCCTCACCACATTTCCGAGTTTCTGGGTTTTACGAGTTTGCCACTCAACTATACCTCTATGTCTATATAATATATAATATATAGAAAAATATTCAATTGCTCATTATATATACTATATATAATAGTACTACTATACTATTATACTATTATTGAATAAAGAACCAAGTTGAACTATTTTCCACTGAAAATTCTCTAAATTCATGAATCTTCAATTTGATGCGTCGTGTAAGCATGACTGGTCCAATAGTTCCTGGAATACAGCAACTTTTGTAAATTTCGTTTTTCCTCAATATCTCATACATGACAGCAAGGACTTCATTTTTTTTTCAACTCAATTATATCAATCAGAATGTCTGTATTTGTTCGTTTAAAATTTCATGATATCGCCGTTTTCAGGTTTTATCATTATAAACAATCAATTAACAAAAAAGTAAAAAAAAGCGTTTTGGGATTTTGGACCCTTGTAGCTCTCATTAGAAGGTTCGCGTTTTGGATGGGCGTAATTAGCTAAGGGGTTCAGAGATATTCCGCCTTTTCGGTGAATGTATTTCCTTAAATATGTCATGAACCATGTGTACCCATTCGTAGAAAAATCGCGAGATATTGCCATTTTTTCATTTTGAGCTTCCGAATGGAAGAATTAGATTCGATCGAGTTAACGATTCCCTAATTTTGCCTAGAAATGATGTGAACCGATCTGAAACGTGAAAATACGAAGTTTGAGGGCCGTGTGTGTATGCGCGGATGATCACATGAGGGTTAATTTTTAAAAAGAGAAACATTAAACGGATAACTTGATTTCAAAAATATGAAACTTGTTCAGTTCTTAGGTTCTAATATGAATGTGATCAATGCTAAATATCAGGCCTACCGTTCAAGTAGTTTTCGAGATATCGGGGATTGTTTGTGAAACGGTTTTGGCAAATATCTCCGAAACTATCCAACCCATTTCACTTTTTTATAATGATCGTCTCAATGTGCTACATAGATCAGTCAGAATTATTATATATGATCCTGCAAAGTTTTTGAGATATTTTTTTTTTCGAAAAAAATCGTTATCCGCGCTCTCTAATTCTTAAAAAGCAACCTATCAACCAATTAATTTGATATTTGGCAGAAAGTTTCGTCCTATGAACACAATGTTTTCTATTGAATATAGGTTCGATAGGATGATTCGTTTTGGAGATATTGCCATTTTCCTTTTTTTTCGAAAAAATCTTGCCGGAACAGGTACGGATCCATTCGCAAGCTTACTGCTACCGTGTATTACTACTAAAATAGTAAATGTACGAGTTTGAAAACCGTGGGATCTTAAAGTTTAATAACGTTCTCAATGATTTTAAGCAAAATTACAGACTCGAAAAATTGATAAATTATTAAGGTACTATCGATGGTTTCAACGGTTCTCGAAATGACTTCCCTTTTATTGAAAAGTATATGGCTAAAAGGTAAAAATGTGGAAGAAAAACTTCCTTATCGTCATTATTTACTGGACATTTTTTGCTGATTCTCTCTGACTGAAAAGTAATTAGTAATGAATAGTAACGTTTATAAAAATAGTTCCATTTTAAGGGCCGGGTGGACTATCTATCGAGCGTCATCTTTTATTTAAATTTTATCTTTTTAACCTAAAATACATAAAAATTTGGGATAAGTTTTGAGGTCACGAAAATCACTGGAGTTGGCATAAAAAAATAATGAAAAAAAAGAGGAAAAAATTTTGAAGGGCGCTAAAGAGCGATATTTATGAAAAGGGATTTTCCAGGTTTACAAAAAAATAATGAAAAATATGTAGCATGTATGTCAAGTATTCACCACACAAACCAAACCCTCCACTGAATTGAATGCAGCTACAGGCAATCAAATGCTGCAGATTTTTCATTATTTTTTTGTAAACCTGGCAAATCCCTTTTCATAAATATTGCTCTTTAGCGCCCCTCAAAATTTTTTCCTCTTTTTTTTCATTATTTTTTCATGCCAAGTCCAGTGATTTTCGTGACCTCAAAACTTATCCCAAATTTTTATGTATTTTAGGCTAGAAAGATAAAATTTAAACAAAAGATGACGTTCTATAGGTAGTCCACCCGGGCCTTAATTTGTTCTTTAATACTGGGCAATATCAGAAGCGCGCGCGGAACGCAGAGATGTGTAGGGTAGGACTTTATGTTTCCTGATATTCAAAAAGTCGTAATTTCGTTTTGCGTAGAGATAAATGGGTAAAATGAGCCATTCAAAAGCTGAATTCGTGAGCTTTGAAAATATATAGGAAACAGGTCATTTATATATAGTGGGGAGGGCAACATTTAAAAAAATAAAAAACAATAAAATAGACTTACCAAAGTATCACGCAAATAATTGAGATCTTTCTCGGACGATAGTTCCGGCAGTCCCGTCGATATCATCATAGCAAAAAGCGAGAGAATTAATCCCCCATGTCTCCTCAAAATTAAAAAAGCCTTCTCGCAATAATTCTGAAATATTTGGAACTCCACAGCCTGTCCCTTCTTAGTCTGTCCCTTATTAATAACATGCACAAAGTCGTTGGTCAGCACGAATGGTACTCGTTCGCGTCTGAATCCAAACTTTTCTTTAAAATGTCCCAAAATGTGTCCAAAGTCAACATGAAAGAGTTGGCCAGTTTTTTTAACCATGATATTATCCGAGTGGCGGTCGGCGATTCCCAAGACATATGTAGCTACACAATAGCCAGCACAACTTAAGGTAAACTCCTCAATAGCTTTATTAAGTGCTGTCTCAGTGTGATTATGATCTTTGAGCCAAGTAAGAAGAGAGCCTCGTCTGAAGGCCGCAGTTGCGGAGAACATTCCCTTCTCCTTCTGGATATTTGCTATCGTCTCAGCATTAAGTACCACCTGGATCAGACCCACTCTATTCTCAGTAGAAATACATCGATATGGATTCATTCGAAAATCCAATCCCTCTCGTTTCCAAAGTTTATCCATTATCCTCAGCATTTGAAGGGTGAGCATGTCCTGTCTCAAGTCGTCTCCATGTTTCATGATGAGGTAGATATCTTCACCAAAGGGGTCATCGTTCTCAAAAACCAGCCACAATGGTCTCATCTTGCTGTCCATCACTCGACATTTCTCAATCTTCACTTTCTTCCATCTGAAGCTAGGGTCCAAAGGATTGAGGACGTTGGAGAGCGCCTCCTGACAATGAGGCTCTTGGATGTAGTCCTGAAACCCTTGTAGTGCAGCTTTTCTATCTTTTTTAGCCTTTATTTGTTCAGAAGCTGTCCTCAGTTTGTCTAGACACTCCATTTGCTTGAAGAGGATTCTCATGTGTTGCTGACTACCCCTGCAGTAGGCCTCCAGAATTAATCCGAATCGGACTGAGACTGAAGCCACTTGCATCTCTGACCGCAGATGCCAGAAAAGGAAGTGACCTATTTTCTGATTGTTCAGGGCTCTTCGAAGTAAAAACTCGGTCAGGTCACAGGAAAGATAGTTCTCGTGCTTGAGGGCTTGAACCAGTTGAAGAAGAAACAGACTCAACTCATCATCGGTGACGTCTTTGAGGCAACGGACTGCGAAGGAGCGAACTGTCCCGTCTGCGTAGGCGTAGTCTAAGAGTTCCAAGGCTCGTTCCACTGGTAGTTTCGGCCACTGCTGGACAAGGGCTGTTGCTTCTGCCACTTCTCTGTTATTAAAACGGTATCAAATCATTTGAATTATAATGCCCTCGCACAATATACGGGAAGGAGCATTTTTTTTTTACAACGGACAACTTTCTTTTTTTTCATCAGCACTGTAAAATTTTATTCCGTGTAGTCTGCACCGATAACTTGAAAGTACTTGGAGAGCGTTGACCTTCGTACCGTGTACCACTCTTCTTAAAGACATCATACCGCTGGGCCATGTTTATCAAAAAAGGTCTTAAAATACTTTCAAGTTATAGGTCAGAAATTCTTTGATGATACTCACCTATGGTCATTCCATTCGACACAATGTAATAGTTTAGCCAATAATGAGGGAATCTCATGGAGACAATGTCGTCTGAGAGCCCACATTGTTTTTCGTTCCTGCTCATGGAGCTCATGAAGTGGATCTCTATCAGCTAAACTTTTCAACAGTTCCAATTGCTGCAGTTCATTCGCCTCAGATTCCTGATTGGGCTCTTCTGCTATGGTATGATCTTCCGAGCTTTCTCTGAGCTTCGCTGCGTACTCTACGACCTTCTCCGAGGTTGGGTAAAGAACAGACTTGTCTTTTCCATAACTAAAAATTATTATAAGAAAAGGAAGTGCATAATAATTTATCTCCAGAATATCAAGAGAATTCAGAAGAAAAATTGTCTGATTGATTGTTGGATTGACTTTTCGACAGACGCCGTAGAAAGGTAAGGTATCCTGACATGTACATAGCGGCTAAGCATACGTACTGTTCCGATCTCAATTATCATTCGAAAAAACTAATGAATCGGGAAAAGATGAACATTTTAGAAAATCTAATAACATTTCTATTTTTTAACTTTCTAATCGCAGCTTACACTTGAGTGAGGAATAACAGGGAAAGAGCAACCCGCGCTAGAATATGCTTGCCTGAGAAGTACGACCTTCTGCGTGGTTCGATGATGAGAAGAAAGTAAAAAGAAATTAATTTAGCTGACTTGAATTATTGGTGTTGACAATCTGTCCATGTCCGATATTTATTTGACAGACAGAGTGACCAAAAAAAGAATATCCATATTTTATTTCCGGGGTGATTACAATAATTTCTTCTGGTCGGCAGAAAAGTTGAAGAATAATCACGGCTCTTCAACGTGCACAGCTGATTTGTTACTTGATTTTGACGTTTAAGATTCGGTTAGGGTACCTTTCTATGATAATCAAATTTGTTTCTGTCATTTAATACTCCGAGACTGTTTTGCACGAGGTAGAAATGTGAAAATAAGGATAAATTAAAAAAAAAGTCAAATAAAGCTTTCAAGATTAATGTGAAAAGGAAAATCTAAATGATTATAGAAGAATAAGGCAACGCGGCCGTACGGTTGAATAGAATATTTACTTTGGGAATGTCAACATGAGCGCAGCAGCACGATCAATATGGGGATTGGAGACAACAGTGCCCAATGGATGCAGTAGATCATCATTCTGCATGTCCTCCACATAAGTCCACGTATAGAGTGTCATTGCACCAGTCTTGAGCTGTGACTTAAAGTCGTAAATAGTGGTATTTGCCCAGCACAGTGGGTTCATAAAATACTCTTGTTTCGAATCTTTGACCAGTCTTCGACTCTTGAGGCCCTTGGCAGTCTTACTTAATTCATAAAGTACAAAACACAAACGGGCATTGCGTGGTATGTCTCTAACTCTAATGTCAAATCTGAGAGCTTCCTCCCAGTTGCAACTGCCGTCTAAGTTAACGGCTATTTCTTTGGTTTTCTGACTCTCACAAAGGGATTTACCGCCTTGGAAAACACCGGCCTGTAATCCGACCTGGAAAAAATTGACAAGCTTGAAAAACTAATTATTGAAAAGCGAAAGGGTGCAACCTATTGGCTAAAATTTTGCCAGAAAAAATAATCGTTGAAAGATACTTTATTCATGAAGAATAATGATCTTTCAAGGTTATTCTGAACTGACTTGGAAATGCATTCACCACAATAAATGACACTAAAATTTCTACTTTCAGTATTTACTTTACCTCGACAATACGATGCGCGGCATCACAATTAAGTTTTGATATGCCGTTGACATCGAACACGAACCAATCATCGATTTTCCATGCAGAAATATATTTTCCTTTTTTTCTCAATGTCAAAGTAGAGAAGGTGGGTCTTGGTCGTTTTAAACTATCTAAACCAGGATTCTCGAAAAGATTGTCATGATGGACAATTACACTCTCCATGCTCATTGTCACTAGTGTTGGTGTAATATCCCGAGCGAGACAGTCTTGGATGTAGCGGAACTGAATCAATGGATAATCGCCGATTAAATACTCTTCTTGGCCGCATACTTTTAGAATGAAGTCACTTGCTACTTCTCTCTCGCCACGAGAGATTTGTCTGCTGGCTCGTTTATTTAGGATGAGGACGACAAGTTGATAGGGAGTTGTATCGTGAGATATTTGAAAGGTAAATGTCACCTGCAAAAAAATTAATGAGGAAAATTTAATAAGTACTGATCGAGATATCTTGCTATAATTTTAGCTTCTCAATGGAAGCTTCAAAGTATAGTTTTTTCGAACTATACTTAACTAATTCGAATTTCATTTTTTTTACCTGCTCTATTTTCTGCTGAAAGCAAAATCCCATCTTTTGCAGTAGTAATTTAGCAGTAATTAAATTTTGCAATTGCGTGGTTAGTTATTGTATCCGTAAGCATTAAAAATTTAAAAAATCACAAAAAAATTTTGTGAAAAGATGGCGCCAAGTCGACGTGAATCTGATCGCCTCCACGACAGAAACATGGGACAATTACTGAATAGTTGAAATGATACAGTAGATACAGTACAATGATACAATAGGACTGATTATGATATAATCTTATTTTTTAAAAACCATGGAAATATTAAAAAATGCCAAGTTTATGCCGACAGCGTCAACTAGGACAATTTTCCGCAGTTTTAGTTCCGATTCGAAAATCGATTATTATTAATAAAGGCTTTTGTCATTCCGGCTGTAAGACAGTGTTTTACGGCTGCGTCGCTTTGTTTCGCGTCCACGAAACGCTGACTACGGCTGTTATGACAAAAAATAGTGGGCGTCAAACGGCCAAAAAAATTTGTCGACCAAGATGATTGTTGCAAACCTCATCTTCGCTAAAAGTTTTTTTCGGCCTAATAACAAAATATATTGTTTCAAACCCTGTCCATAGGAAATTAATTCGGAAAAAAGTCAACTTGGCGCGCCTAATTTTTCCCCTTCAATTCACTGAGTATCATTACGTTGCCGGGAACATAGTACAAAATTACAAGTATATTTTGAAGGTGGTGGGGGTATCCGAGAGACGGTTGAGCCGTTGGGGGGGTCCTCAGTTTTTGGGTAAATTATGGGGTTTTCCGGGGAAAATTACTGTGAAAAAGGGTTCGGGGGGATTCTTAACAGTGTGTTTTACGATGGGAACATCGAATTTGGGGGGTAATTGAACCCGTTGGGGTTTTTTTCGACAATATCGGGAGACGCCGAGTAGAGGTTAGTTTTACTGACTGCTGTGGGCTGGAAGGCGGTGAACGGTGGCGCTGGTGACAATTCCAGCCGTTGGGCTTGGGGGAACGCCATTGCGGACGACAGGGGCATGGAGGATGACAGCAGGAGAGAATTTCTCCTGGAACGACGATCCGCACCGGGGAGAAGACGAAATGGA